GCAAAAGAAGGGGTAAAATTGTCATTTGATCCAAGCAGGCATTCCCAGTTCAGATTCTCACTCTCCGAACGGCACTTTCAAAGCTCACCAACAGTTCAACTTCTAACCAACCCAGTAAAAACCAAAGCTCATAGTTTTCATCGAAACCCACATTTCTTCGTCCATATTAACGTACGTCCCCCTCATATATTTCCACTAAAAAGCCTGTTCAATACAGCTCTATCTCTCTTAAAGCCTTTCAAGAAAAGGTGAGTTCTGAAATTTTGCTTCTTCAATTAATGCGAGTTATGATATGGTTGTGCGTTTACAGAATGTGGGTTCGAATGTATATATTGATCCAATGTTGATTGGGTTTTTTGCTTAACATTTTCAATTTACTGTTATTGTTGTTTTCTTTACCAGATCTTTTGTGGGTAGTCAAGATTTCTTGCTATTTTTATGAAATGAATATGGTCACGTTCTAATTCATGATTGGCTTCTAATGTGATAAACGAAGCACTTGAATGTGATTAAATATTTGAAATTGTATATGCAGTACATATCAGTTTCTTGTTCTTTGTTTGAGTAATAAAATGTTTAAGAGGGATTATGTACTCAATTTGATTGCTGTATCAATAATTTTTAAGATTTAACTTTAGAAATTTCAATCAAACAAATGTTAAGCCAGGATTCAAAATGGTGAATTCTTACTTTGGTTTCTGTCATGGAAGACTGAATTCTTCGTTGTTTTACTAATCCATCCCTCAACCCCCTGGCACTTAGCAGAACAAAATACAGAAATAACATACAAGATAATTGAGTGGTGCAGAACTTGAAATTTTGTCACTCATTATGTGTCAAAATATACACTGATTAAGAACAGACAATGCTTGTTGTAAAGTGTAAATTGAGGTTTTGTGACTATGTTAAAACTGAGGTATACATGTTTGTCTTGACTAATCGACAACTGGATTAGGACAGTAGGATGTGACTTAAGCGTTTCTGTTAATTTCTTTTTCTACATCAACTTATCCTTATATTTTCTAGTCATCAAATTTGGTCGGATAATTTCTTGCAGAATCCTTCGACTTGAAATCAATGGCTGGAACTACAATTCCTCGCGCACAAATTGCAACACCAAAGCCTTGCATTTCTGCAGCTCGTAGAATTCCCAGTTCAAGCATTTTATGCTTTGGTAATGATATCAAAGGCATCTCTTGTGCAAAGCTTCAAAGCTCATCTTTCATCTCATCGACAAAGTCTTTTTCCAAAAGCTTCGACCTCAACCTTCTAAAGTGTGAAAGGAATGTTATTAAAGCAATGTCTGGAGCAAGTGATAACCAGCCTTTGCCTGGATTGCCCGTCGATCTGAGAGGTGGGACCTTACAAAGTTGTGCATCCATTTTTTTTCCCTTTCAGCAATGCGTACGTTACAGTAGTTTACTGGTTTTGTTTTTAATAACTGTTAGAATCTTCTTCTTCGTTCTTTTTACATTTTTTTTCTTCTTCTCTTTTTTTTTTGGGGGGGGTAAATCCATCCACGTAGGTCAAGGGTTTTAGGCCTACTCACCTAAGCCCCAGACGGGGGGCTTGGCACTAACCCTGACCCTACCTAGTACATTGATATAAAAGATTTAAGTACAAAGAAGGAGGGTAAGAACCTTACCTCCTAATAAATATGAGAAATTATGAAGCATCTTAAGCCTTGTAAGTCTAAATCTGCTGAGCTAATAGCATTTGCCCGAGTTCGATCTGTCTCTTATGACATTGTTCTTGGATATTTTTCCCATCGAACATATAGACAGATCCCATTCACCATTTCTAATTAGAAATAGATAACATTCTGTTTGTATGGTAGATTTTTTTTTGCCAGCTCCAAATGCTACACTTTTCATAGATGGCCTAGCTGCATAGAAGTTACGAGCTAGCTAGATCCTTAGCCATCATGTTTTTGATCTATGCTTATTTTGGGTGCTTGTGAATGCGAGAATGGTATGAGAAAATTATTTCTCCAAGTAACATAATGTTGCGTTACCTGTATCTAAAACTCCCTGGGAAAAACAAGTGAAATTTTAGAGTGAACAATTATCAAACTGAATTTGGTTACAAGCACAATTATGGACTTCGCTGATACATGTAGCACTGATTGCAGGTAAGAGGGCATTTATTGCTGGTATAGCGGATGATAATGGATATGGATGGGCAATAGCAAAATCTCTTGCAGCTGCTGGTGCTGAGATTCTTGTTGGTACATGGGTTCCTGTATGTCTTCTGATGCATTTATGATGTTTTATTCATCAGAATTATTCCAAGACTCTTTAGATATGTTATTTCCTAATGAAACTATCTCTTAGGCACTCAATATTTTTGAGAACAGTCTACGACGTGGGAAGTTTGATGAGTCACGTGTGTAAGAACAAAACTGTTCATATTTTACTAGTGTAGTTTTTCTTTGTTTAGGTCAATGGACCACTAATTTGGAATTCTGTCTTAGGTTGCCTGATGGTTCTTTAATGGAAATCACAAAAGTCTACCCATTGGATGCAGTTTATGACAGTCCCGAGGATGTTCCTGAAGATGTATGAAATATTTTGCGGAATTTCCTAAGTGAATTATAGTCTTCAGAAAAAAATAATGTGTGCTATGGTGCAGGTGAAAACAAATAAACGATACATGGGATCTTCAAATTGGACGGTTAAGGTATTAGCTTTTAAACTCCTTTTTTCTCTTTTCTTCCAGGATTTCTTTTAGTGCCGTAATGGGAGCTTGAGCAAAGTTCTAACATAGGCTCAGTGCTGCCACATCATTTTTCAGCTAAATTGCCAAAAACCGGCTCAAGAAATTGGCTAACCTGAATGTTTTGTCCTGTTTTTGCATATTACTAAATGATTTCCGCTGTCTTTCTTATACTTGTTATGGCTCAAGAAACTTGAATCGAGTCAATTTAGCTTCCATTTTTGCAGCGCAAGATGACTCTTTTATACCAATGCAAGGAACTTGTGTTGTATTTTATTGGAACACTTTTGTTTTATGAACACGAGCGTATAGTTGAGTTAATAACTTCAAAATGCTGAAAGGATCTATATTGTCTTTAGGAAGTTGCTGAATTGGTGAAACAGGATTTTGGTACCATTGATATCCTTGTGCATTCACTTGCCAATGGTCCAGAGGTACCCTTTTTTCTCTGAATTTTATATTATACTGTTGTTTTTCATCACGATTTTCCTTGAATTGTTGGGACAATGCATGTAGGTTATCAAGCCTCTTTTGGAGACATCTAGATACGGTTATCTTGCAGCCATCTCTGCATCAAGTTACTCCTTTGTTTCTTTACTCAAACATTTTGTTCCCATCATGAATCCAGGTATGCTAACCTATCCATATCCTGGTTTGAACATTTCACTGGAAGAAGATAAATTTATTGTCATAAGCAACTAGCACCACTTTTGCTAACCTTTTTCTGGTTATAATATACCAGGCGGTTCTACAATTTCTCTAACATATATTGCATCTGAGAGGATTATACCCGGGTACATTTATCTTCAAATAGTCAAATAGGCTTCGTTTTTGTCTCCTTCCATTCTGGGAATACCTTCTATTATTGCAGATATGGAGGCGGCATGAGTTCTGCAAAGGCTGCTCTAGAGAGTGACACACAGGTGAGTCTTACTGGTATCTGGGTTATCCTATTTCAATTTTCATGTACTGATCATGGTTTATGGAAATATATGCGCTACATGAAGGTTCTGGCTTTTGAAGCTGGAAGAAAACACAAAATCAGAGTCAACACCATATCTGCAGGTATTGGATCTGTAAAACATAAGGATGAGTTAAGTACTAAAATTTTGGATCTTGAAAATCTGTTGAGTCCCTGCATTTGTTCAGTTTCCTTACCGGAATGCAGTAATTTTGATTCATGTAACTCATTGGTAATGTCAAATCTGATATTCAGAAAACAATGGGGGCTTCTTAATATTATTTGAAGCGAGTGAAATGAATTTTCCTATTAATGGTCTCGATTGTAATAATATACCAGGTCCATTAAGAAGCCGTGCTGCAAAAGCTATTGGCTTCATTGACATGATGATCGACTATTCATTGGAGAATGCTCCATTGCAGAAGGAACTGACTGCTGGTAAGTGATCGGTCTTATCCTCCAACTTCATCTGCATTATTGTTAATCAAAACTTTTAGAAATTTCACCATGGTTGTATTATCTGTTTAATTGGTCCCAACCCATACACGCACCCCTACGAAAACAAAAAATGAAACATGAATATAATGGATCAAAATAGGTATAACCATCTGTAGAAATACTAAACCTGCAAAATAAATGTAACAGAGGAGGTTGGGAATGCTGCTGCTTTTCTGGCATCTCCACTGGCTTCAGCCATCACTGGTGCTGTGGTTTATGTTGACAATGGCCTTAATGCAATGGGAGTGGGAGTTGATAGCCCAGTATTTCGAGATCTTGACATTCCAAAAGCAGACAGAAGTTAAGAATTTATGTTCATCTTGAAATAAATGTTGGGCTGTTTATTTCTTGTTGCAATATTCTCGGAGAACTAGTACTTTTGAGCGTCGCAATATTTTTAGCACAATATGCTTATTTTTAAAGGAAACCAATGTGATGGTGAGCCAGCCTCATCCCTTAGGCCCTTCTTCCCATAATCGACTGCTGCTCTTGAAAGAGAGAGAAACTTATTTTACTTTAGATTTTGTTTAACATTTCTTGATTTGAAAGAATTACTTTTGAAATACCTAATTTTCAATTTTCTCAACAAAAATATTATCTATTTTAAGATATTGCAACAAGATGGCGAAAGAATTTTTTGATTTTCAGATTCGACTTGCACAACACTGCTGAAATAATAATTAGACTACTATAATAAATAAGCAAACTGTAGGAATTGGTTCAAATATTAAATGAAAAGGTGTGTAAAAATTGAAAAATGAGAAGGTGTATAAAAATGGAAAATGAAAAGGTGTGACTATGTATCAACTTCGACCAAATATTCGGA